GTGTTAAAATCTGGCGGTAGGTTCTCCGACCTCAACTGGTATCAAAGCCTCGGCGCCATATACCAGGGAGAAAGGCGTTTACCCCGTGCTCGATTTTGGGGTTGTTCGATATGCCCAGAGTACTTCGGGTAATATTTCTCTCCATCTTCCTTTTGCGCTTTCCAACTCCTACTTTAAGTTTTGAATGATGGTTTTGTTTGTGGACTCGGCTTGGCCGTTTGCACATGGGTGGTAGGGCATTGACAGGATCCTTTTGATCTTGTGGTCCTCGAGGAACTGAGTCGCTTTGCTTCCGATGAATTACTTCTCGTTATCACACGTTATTTCGGAAGGAATTCCGAATCGGCACATGATATGGTCCCAGATGAAATTGATGACTTCTTTTTCTCTTATTTTTTCGAAGGCCTGTGCTTCAACCCATATTGAGAAGTAGTCAGTCATAAATAAAATAAATCTAGCTTTACCTGGCGCTGTTGGCAGAGGTCCGACGATGTCCATCCCCCATTTCATGAACGTCCACGGCGATAGAACTGAATGTAGTTGTTCACCAGGTTGGTGGATCGTTGGGCGAATCTCTGGCATTTATCGCATTTGCGGACGAATTCTTTGGAGTCTTTCTCCTTGATATCCCAATAGTAGCCTGCCCTGATTATTTTTCGAACTAAGGAATCGGCACCGGAGTGATTTCCGCAGGTGCCCTCGTGGATCTCTCGGAGCACATAGTCTGTGTCTCCCGGCCCCAGACATACTGCTAAGGGGCCATCAAAAGTTCTTCTGTAAAGAGTTCCGTTTTCGTCGAGCGAGAATCGGGCCGCTTTGGTTCGCAAGGTCCTCGACTCTTTCGGGTCTGCGGGTAGCTTCCCGCTTTCCAAATAATCGTATATTTATTTCTCCAATCCCATGTGAGGCTAGTGGATTTGATCTCAGCATGGCCTTCCTCGATCACTGATTTGGATAGTTGAACAACAGATCTAGGGAGTATGTCATCTTCCTCGACAGACGACCCCAGGTTTGCAAGGGCACCGGCTTCGCTGTTTTCCTCTCGAGGTATGTGAACCAGAGTCCATTCTTTGAAGCGGCGCAATGTGACTTGAATTTTGTCTAAGTATCTTTGCATCCTGTCTTCCTGAACCTCGAAGCTCCCATTTACCTAATTTACCACCAAGAGAGAATCGCATTTTGCTTCAATGACTTCAGCTCCTAAGCCTTTGGCCAATTCTAGACCTGCAATCATAGCCTCATACTCGGCTTCATTGTTAGTTAACCTTGCGGTTTTTATAGATTGTCTAATCACGCCGCCCGTAGGTGGATTTAGAATTATGCCAAGCCCGGATCCTCTTACGTTCGAGGCGTCGTCAGTGAACTGGGTCCATACCTCGGAAGGTATGCCTTTTTTAAGCAAAAGTTCTTTCTCGACCTCGGGTACGAGGGAGGGAGTGATGTCGGCTACAAAGTCTGCCAAAATTTGAGACTTGATAGCCGTTCGGGGCTGATACTCGATATCATATCCCCCGAGTTCAATGGCCCATTTAGCCAGTCGGCCCGATAATTCGGGTTTATGCAGTATGCTTCGAAGGGGATATGTTGATAAAACGCAAATATGATGACATTGGAAGTAAGGTTTCAATTTTCGAGACGCACTTATTAATGCAAGAGCTAGCTTTTCCAGGTGCGGATATCTGGTTTCGGCATCACCCAGGGTCCGACTTACATAATAAATAGGGAATTACGTACCTTGTTCTTCTCGAACCAGTACACCACTTACCGCTATCTCGGATACAGCCAGGTACAAATACAATGTTTCACCCTCTTTTGGGGTGTGGAGCAAAGGCGGGCTTGTTAGGTATCGCTTCAACGTCTCCAAGGCGCGTTGGCATTCCGGAGTCCATTCAAAGTTGTTTTTCTTTTTGAGCAAGGAGAAGAAATGGTGACTCCTGTCTGACGACCTTGATATGAACCGACCCAAGGCTGCTATCCGCCCGGTCAGCCGCTGCACGACCTTCACGTTATTTACCACCGTAATTTCTTCGATGGCTTTGATTTTGTCGGGGTTGATCTCGATTCCTCTGTTCAATACCATAAAGCCTAAGAATTTGCCCGACCCTACCCCGAAGGCGCACTTCTCGGGATTGAGCTTCATGTTGTAACTTTTGAGGATGTCGAACGTTTCCTGCAAATGAGTCAAATGGTCCTCTGCGCACAGGGACTTAACTAGCATGTCGTCAATATAAACTTCCATGGACTTGCCTATTTGATGTTCGAACATCTTGTTAACTAGGTGTTGGTATGTGGCCCCTGCGTTTTTTGCCCGAAGGGCATTACATTGTAGCAGTACGTACCGTACTTTGTGATGAACGAAGTCTTTTCTCTATCCTCGGGGTTCATCTGAATTTGATTATACCCCGAATAGGCATCGAGAAAAGTGAGGGTTTCATGGCTGGCTGTGGCATCGATCAAACGGTCGATGTTGGGCAGTGGGAACGAGTCCTTTGGGCATGCCCTATTTAGATCTTTATAATCTATGCACATTCTTAGCTTATTCCCCTTTTTGGGAACTACCACCACGTTGGCCAGCCATTCGGGGTATTTTACTTCCATTATAGACCCTATCATGAGGAGTTTCGTTACCTCGTCTTTGATGAATGCATGCTTTATATCGGACTGGGGTCTCTTTTTTTGCTTCACCAGTTTGTACCTAGGATCGACACTTAGTCGCTGGGTGGTTATCTCCGGTGGGATCCCTGTCATGTCTAAATGGGACCAAGCAAAGAAATCGATGTTATTAATAAGGAATAAAATGAGTTTTTCCCTGAGTTCAGGGGTTAGTCCCGTCCCCAGGTATACCTTCCAATCTGGGAGATGCTCAACCAATACGGCTTGCTCCAATTCTTCGACAGTTGACTTTGTTGTGTCCGCTTCTTTGGGGGCAATGAAGGTTCTGGGAGTGAGGAAGTCCTCTTCATCATTCTCGGGGGTTTGTTGGCTTTCCAACTCTTCCGAGGTGGAGTGTATGGGATCCGGTACCTCTTCATGGATCGCGAACATTTCCTTCACCGCATGCTGCTCGCCATACACTGTCCTTATTCCGTCCTTTGCTGGAAACTTCATCATCTGATGCAAGGTCGATGGTACCGCCTTCATGTTATGTATCCACGGCCTACCGAGCAAGGCATTGTACCTTGCGTCACCTTTAATGACGTGGAATCTGGTATCTTGGACTGCATCGGATATGTTTACCGGGAGGGTGATCTCTCCTTCTATTGCTTCATTGGCCATATTGAAGTCGTTGAGGATTCGGGAGGTAGGTACGATCTAGTCGAATAATCCGAGCTGTTCTACCACCGTCGACCTGATTATATTGGTCGAGCTACCTGGATCCACGAGTACACGTTTGATTTGAATGTTATTCAAGAGAAACAAGATTACCAGCACATCGTTGTGCGGATGAGACAGAGTCTTGAAGTCTTCTTCGCCGAACGCGAGGATGTGCCCAGGTACACGACCCCGAGTTTGTCCTTGTGTTGCCGCGGAAACCTTTATCCGCTTGACCACGGGTCCCTGGGGAACGTCGGTTCCTCCTATAATCATATGGACGACGTGCTGAGGTTCTTCCGCTTTACTCTCCCTGTGTGCCTTTCTTTCTTTCCGGGTGGGGTTCTTTTCTCGGCGTACACTCTTGTTGGTGTGGGAACTTATGCCAACGCGTTGAGCGTTGCCTGAGACCATATTGACGAAAATTGGCTGTGGTGTAATCTCAGGGTTTTGTGGCGGCATACCAACACCTGGAATAGCTACACCGCTTTCTCTATGGACTCCAAGACTGTTGTTCTTACGTGTGTTTACTGAGTTGGACATTTTGACCTGAAATCAAGGATCTTGGGCAAGAAAAAGTGTGAAAGATAACTTGCGTTATGTAGTAAACCAGCAAGAAAACAATCACTATTATTTTTAGCCCCGCGGTGGGCGCCAAACTGTTTACCTTGAAAATGGTAATAACAATTAGATTTGATTTTGTGGTTCTAAAAATATGTGATCTATTTTTATGCTAGTTGTTAAGCAGTAGATGCTGAGTGGCGAGATTACAATATAAGAGATTGAAGATGGCTTTAGAAACCAAACCAAACGGTTGAGAATCGGGCCTCGAGCTAGCACGTGGGGGGCCTCGATGCTAAGTTAGACGACCGGCTAAGGGCTATCGATAGGGGACTAACAACTATTAGGGTTGTGATTGCGGCTCTTTACGGCCAATAACGAGCAATAAATGAAGAACGATTAATGATACACATAAATGTGAATAAAGCAATAAATGTAAGTAACAGAATCAAATAAAGAGTATGTTTAAGTTAGAGAGCAGAAAGAATGTTCTTGTATTGAATGAAGTATCTTGTGTTTTCTTGCATATCAGACGTCTCTTACAAAATAGTAAGGAATACCTTTATAGATGGGGGGCCCTCATATGGTACAAGTGCATTTATTATATAAATAATCGGTGCGATCACTCAATCAGTCTGGCACAGGCTGTCACTGTTCGCGCAGGCATCATCAGAAAAGGTACTGCTCCTAGGGAACTTCCCGCCCGCTAGTGATAACCCCTGGTTCGTTCTACTCCGATATTGAGCAAGAAGAGTCCTCTAAGTACTAGAGATTGTACTATTGAGGAGACTCTGGCGCTGGTGTTTCGACTGGTGAGGACTCGATAGTACTAGAGATTGTTTGATCTTCAGCCATGGTGAGAAGAAGAGAAGATTGGGTGAACTGAAGAGAGAATGAATAGGAAACAGGTTGAAGGGTTGATGTGTGAAGTGCGGTGACAAGGATAGATGTATTTATGATGACAGAGGGATTGGTTAGAAAAAGGGCGGCATGTTTAGGGAGATAGGTCGATTTATAACTGGTGAGGCGTTTGGGTTTAAAAGATGCAAAACTAAAAGCTGACATGCTGATGATGTGGCACTTGTTTTAAATGTTCAGAATTTGTGCATGAGAGAACAAAGAAACTACTAACTTGTGTCAGGAGAACCAGGTTCCCTGACTGATCTCTTGTCTGTAAGCTTTGCCCTTTTTACCAATGTATACAACCTCAAATGCTTATTTGCTCTGTAATCATCAAGCGTGTCTACCTGTAATGGTATAGAGATGAGTTAGACTTTCCCAGAAAACACCTTGTAGCTAAATTTACCTGAACCTTTCTTTCATATCCAATCATTGAGGGTCCAGGTTCTCAATTGGGTTTTATCAACCCCAATGCCAGACGATTTTGCTCGAAGTGTTCTCTGCTCAGGGCTTTGGTAAATATATCTGCAATTTGGTCTTCAGTGCTGCAGAATTTCATGCATATAAGCCCTTTCTAAACATTGTCTTTGAGGAAGTGGTGACGTACATCAATGTGCTTGGTCCTCTTATGTTGAACTGGATTTTTTTCCATGGTGAGTGCACTAGTATTATCACATAAAAGAGGCACACGGTCTGAGAATACTCCAAAATCTTCCAATTGTTGCTTGATCCACAGAAGTTGAGCACAGCAAGAGGCAGCTGCTACATATTCAGCTTCGGCAGTTGAAAGTGCCACAGAATTCTGCTTCCTTGTACCCCATGAGATTAAGCAAGAACCCAGGAAGTGTGCCATCCCAGACATGATTTTCCTGTCCACCAGATATCCACCATAATCAGCGTTAGTGTACCCAATAAGATCACAGTTGTCTCCTAAGGGATAATAGAGGACCATGTCCTGTGTTCCTTTGAGATATCTCAATATTTTCTTGGCAGCCTTCAGATGAGATTCCTTTGGATTGGATTGAAACCTTGCATAGAGACCCACACTAAAAACAATGTATGATCTGCTTGCAGTGAGATACAATAGTGACCCTATGATCCCTCTATACATGGTCTGGTTTACAGGGGAACCAGGTTTATCCATGTCTAGACGAGTACCTTTTGCACTGGGAGTGTCGATAACTTTTAAGGCTTCCATATCAAACCTTTTCAGCAACTCCTTGATGTGCTTTTGCTGACTTATCAATGTTCCCTTCTTAGATTGTTTCACTTGAAGTCCTAGGAAGAAATTCAGTTCTCCTATCATACTAATCTCCAATTCACTCCCAATGAGTTTAGCAAATTCTTCGCAGAGAGAGTCAGGTGTGGCTCCAAAGATGATATCATCAATATACACCTGAACAATGAGTAGGTTCCTCCCTCGTTTCTTTAGAAAAAGAGTGTTGTCAATCTTCCCTCTTGCAAAGCCATATTCCAGAAGGAATTTTGACAGCCTTTCATACCAAACCTTGGGAGCCTGTTTTAACCCGTACAATGCCTTATCTAGTTTAAACACATGATCAGGGTGTTCGTTACACTCAAAACCAGGAGGCTGCTTGACATAGACTTCTTATTTCAGATAGCCATTTAGAAATGCACTTTTGACATCCATTTGGAACAATGTGAACTCCATATGAGATGCAAAGGCAATCAAAATTCTAATGGCTTCCATTCGAGCTACAGGGGTGAATGTTTCATCATAATCAATCCCTTCTTCCTTATTGTAGCCTTGAATCACAAGCCTTTCCTTGTTTCTTGTTGTATTTCCAAACTCATCGAGTTTGTTTCAGAATACCCACCTGGTTCCTATAATGGTTCGATCAACAGGTCGAGGAACCAAGTGACATACCTTATTCTTTTCAAATTGATGCAACTCCTCTTGCATAGCTGTGATCGAGTCTACATCTTTCAGCGCTTCTTTTATATTTTTGGGCTCTATTTGGGAAAGAAAAGCTGAGAAGGCAAGTGAGTTTCTTGATTTTGATCTGGTTTAAACTCTTGAGTCAAGAGGAGTGATTATGTTGTCAAGTGGATGTGAACTTTTGAACCTCCAATTTGGTGCCTGAGTCTCATTGGTAGAGGAACCAGGCATATCTGACTGGTATTCTTGATTGCTTCTTACTTCACAGAGTGGAGTTCCTTGGACTTCATCAACAACTCTGTTTTCAGCTTCAGTTGTTATAATCGGGGGACCAGGTTCCTCTCCAATTGATGGAGATGTATTTGCATCTTCTTCACTGGATTCCTTGACATGGCTCATCATGTCTGCCTTTCCATTTACCATGTCAATTACTTCACCTGGCACAGATAAAGGCTCTCCATCTTGATCGACATGTCTGTCCTTTTCACAGGAGAGGTGAGCTTCATCAAAGATCACATGAATGCTTTATTCTACACATTGAGTCCTTTTGTTGTAAACCTTGTAAGTTTTGCTTTGAGATGAGTATTCCAGAAAGATTCCTTCATCACTTTTGGCATCGAACTTCCCAAGAGATTCCTTTCCATTGTTATGTACAAAGCATTTACACCTAAAATTTCTTAGATGTGTCAGCTTGGGCTTCCTTCCATTCAGCAGTTCATATGGAGTTTCGTTCAGAAGGGACCTAATCATGCACCTGTTTACCAAGTAGCACGCAGTATTGACAGCTTCTGCCCAGAAATACTTGTGATCCCGCTGTCAATTAGCATTGTTCTTGCCATGTCTTCAAGAGTACTATTCTTCCTCTCTACAACACCATTATGAGTGATGCCATTTCCAGTGCAGAACTCATCAAACTTGACATTGTCAAACTCCGTCCCATGATTAGACCTGATGCAGGCTACTTTATTACCCATCTTCACTTGGATCTTTTTGACAAAGGCAACAAACACTTCGAAGGTTTCATCCTTAGTCCTGAGGAACAAGGTTCAGGTGAATCTCGAATAGTCATCAACTATTACAAAGATGTACTTCTTTCCTCCTCTGCTTGGCACCCTCATAGGTCCACATAGATCCATGTGAAGGAGATCAAGTGGCCTTGCGGTGATGACTTCCCTTTTGGGCTTGAACGAAGATCGGACTTGCTTCCCTTTTACACATGTATCACACACTTTGTGATCCTTGAAGCTTGATTTGGGCAGGCTAACCAGGTCCTTCCTTACTAATTTGTTTAACAACGTGAAGCTTGTGTGACCTAGCCTCTTGTGCCACAGCTCAATATCATCATCAACAGCTCTTAGGCAGCTTAGATCACCATTCTTCAGTGACTCAAAATTAGCTACATAGACATTCTTGTATATTTTGGCCACTAGCACCACCTCACCCGTCACCAGGTTTGTGACTGTACAGATTTTTGACACAAATTTCACCTTGTTTCCCTTGTCACAGATTTAGGAAATGCTTAGTAAGTTGTACTTCAATCCGTTCACGTAGTACACATTTTCGATTGAGTGAGAGAGAGACTTCCCAATCCTTCCAACTCCTAGAATGTATCCCTTCTTGCCATTCCCAAAGGATACATTCCCTCCTTGCAGGGACTTTAGTGAAAGGAAATCATTTGTACTTCCAGTTATATGCCTTGAGTAGCCACTATCCATGTACCATTGTTGGCTGCTTCCTTTCAATGTTCCCTGCACAAGAAGATTAGGAGTTAGCTTTAGGAACCCAAGCCAACTTGGATCCCTTGTAATGAGGAAAGGGGTGAATAAGGGATCTTTTGGTCCATGCAGGCATTATGCATTTTTTAAATGAGGGACCAGGTTCTCTAGTGGTAGTTAGTTTTTTAGCAAAGGATTTGTTTTTCTGCTGTGACTGACATCTGACCTAACAGTTTTCTTTAAGGTGCCCATTGTTACCGCAGTGGTTGCAAAGCCAATTGTCAGGTACAATAATGTACTTGCAATGAGGGTCGTAAGGAATCTTTTCCCTTTGAAACCCAATCCCCTGTCTGTTTCCCTCATTGTTGGAGTACATGGCAGTGATAGCATCAGAGGACCAGGTCCACTTGAGTAATTTTTCAAGATCACTCTTCACTCTACCTAGTTCTTCCTGAAGTTGTTTGTTTTCTCAAGCTCAGCACACAGACTAAACTGCACTGAATTTAGCTCATTTTCAATCTTAATGTGTGCCTCGCTTGCAACTTCCTTTCCTTTTTGATAATTTTCAACCCTACTTTCCATTGTAGGTTTCCCAATTGTTTCCTTCAAGTCCATTACTACCACTAGAAGATCATCTCTTTCTTCTTCTACATTTTCAATCCTTTACTTTAAGACATTTCTTTCTCTCTTCAGGTTCTCAATTGACTCTCTTAGATCAACTGCAACTATTACTAGGTCATCTCTAGACTGTTCTATTTCTCTTAGTTAAACTGTTAAGACATCTCTGTCATTTATAAGACTATGATAAGTGTCGGTTAGCACATTTGCCAAAGACATGAGTTTCTTAGGAGAATAAGATTTCAAATTTCTCTGAACATCCAGAAAATTTACCTCATCATCATCGTCATCTTCATCATCAGACTGGGGCATCAAAGCAAAAATGGAGTCATACTTGGTTGATTCACTTTCTACTGCCATCATAGAGCTGTTACCTGTTTCATCGTCTTCTCCAGATTTTCTTGAAGAATCTCCCCATGCAGCAAGAGCTTGTTTCACGACATTATCAGCGGCGTTTTTTCTATTGAAGCGTCTGTTAGGAACTGGGTTCCTTTTGGCTGCTTTGTCAGAGTTGTTCTTGTACTGATCCTGCTTTAGGAGAGGGAAATCCTTGATGAATGTCCCGGCTTGCCACATTTATGACAGACGTCATAATTCTTTGGCTTGCTAGAACTTCCCCTTTTTGGAATGCCTCCATTCCTGCGAACCATCTTCTGGAATCTTCTTGTTAGGTATGCCATATCACCATCTTCACCACTTGACTCGTTGTTTTCTATTTTGAGGACCATGTTCTTCTCCTTCTTGGGCTCTCTTCTTTCACTGTCTTTCTTCTTCTTCTTCTTCATTTCATATGTTTTTAGATTGCCAACAAGCTCATCAATAGTTAGCTCCTGAAAGTCCTTCGCCTCTGTAATGGCGTTCACTTTGCTTTGCCAAGAACTGGGTAGCATGCTTAGGATCTTTTTAACCAGCTTGTTCCTTGGAATAGTTTCAGCAAGGGAGTGAAGCTCATTAATGATGGAGGTGAACCGTGTATGCATTTCTTGGACGGATTCATCGTCTTGCATCCTGAAAAGCTCGTATTCAGTTGTGAGCATGTCGATTTTGAATTGCTTGACCTGTGTTGTTCCTTCGTGAGCTGTCTGAAGGGCTTCCCAGATTTCTTTGTCTGATTGACATGCTAATATCTTGTTGTATTCATCAGGTCCAATACCACACACCAGAATTTTCTTAGCACGAAAGTTCTTCTCTACGGCTTTTCTATCTGCATCGTTGAATTCTTTCCTTGTCTTGGGAATGGCTACTGGTGGGTCGCCAAGGTTTTTGGTAGGAACAAATGGTCTATCACATATGACATCTCATAGCTTAGAATCTTCAGCCATGATGAAGTCATGCATTCTAGTTTTCCACCATCCATAATACTGTTCATTAAGGTGGTCTTTAAGTAGATTGGCCTTCTTCGAAGTTTGGAGGAGCAGCCATGAGGATCCTTTCTAGGTGTTAACCTGATAAAAAAACCTGCTCTGATACCTATAGATAGAATATAAGGGTCCACCAAACTCTATATAGAACCAGGTTCTCTATCAAGTCCAATAGCACGCACAGACACATCAGTAATTAAATGGCAATAGGAATTTACGTGGAACATTCCCAGCTCAACGGGATGAAAAACCACGACCTACCCTTGTAGGATTTCAACTTCACTACTGAGCAACTTTTAGATTACAACATATGTAACCTAGGAATTAACCTCTTAATCCCTCACTAACTTGTAATACTTTATTACAAGCCACTTTGTAATAACTCTATTACAAAGACTTTACAACATGGCTAACTCTAGCCAAGACTAAAACACACTGGTTTAAGGTTTACAAATGGGTTCCTATAGAATGCTTCTAAACAAGCTAGATAGGAATTACAATCAAAGAACTATTACAAAGTTACAACTCAACTAAGGACATACAATAACTCTATGTGGGAACTGGTTCGTAGTTGTTTTTTTCTTTGTTCTTGAAGCACTTGAAACTTGCTTACAGGATAGTCACATGAATGAGCTTGTCAAATGTTCAGGTGATTTTGTTTTACCTCCCTTGAATGCATATATACATGTGTGACATCACTTACAATGATGCAAGCAAGGTAGGTAAAAAGTCTTCCCTGGAAAGTTGACTGCAGCACTGTTCCTGCACTGTAGCGTGTGCAGGCAGCAACTTTCCAGCTGGAAAGTTGACTTCCTACAGTCTCCTCGGGAAATGGTAGGGACCTAGTCCCTCAGCTGTTCCTTCCACTATTAAGAGTTGAATCATATTCCATGCTGAATCCCAACCTGGAACCTTGTGATCTTGAGGTCTTGTAAATGTGCAACAGGTTCCTTATCTGATTCTGGATAGTAAGTTTGTTAGATCATCAAAACATAACGTAAAGTACTTATAACCAAAGTACTTGTAACCTATCACCAGGTATACCTTTCGATCTGATAGGTGCTCGATTAGTAAGTTGCTCCAACTCTTCGACCGTCAATTTGGTGGCGTCGGTGTAGTTGGGAGCTATTAATGATATCGGGACACCGTAATTGTCCTCAACGTCTGCTCCTTTTTCTTCATGTCTCTCCGGTTCGGCTGAGGCCGGTATCATTGATTGCTATTTAGTCTCTTCTTTTTTGGTCAGCTTCTCGCTTCTCGATGTTGAGACCGCGTGCACCGGGATCACTTCATCACAGCAAACATTGCCCTTGCGGCTGGCTGTTCTCCGTAGACCATTTTGACTCCCCCCAGCGCGGGAAATTGCAGCGCCTCGTGTAAGGTCGAAGGTATCTTCCTCATGTTGTGGACCCATGGCCTTTTGAATAAAGTGTTATACCTCATATCCCTTTCAGTCACGTAGAACTTCATTTTTTTGGTTGTCCCAGCAGTATTTACCGGCAAAGTTATTTATCCCTTCGTGGTCTCACATGCCATATTGAACCTATAAAATATCTGGACCGCCGATACAATTTGATCCTGTAGCCCTAGTTTCTCTACGACCCTTGGTCTGATGATGTTAGCCGAGCTACCTAGATCAATCAACACATGTTTAACCTGAGATTTATTGATAAGTACAAATATTACCAGTGCATCATTGTGAGGCTATACGATGCCCTCAGCATCTTCGTCTCTGAACGAGATAGTTCCCTCCAGAACGTAATCCCGGGTGCGTTTTTCCCTCGTAATAGACACTTAATATGTTTTACCATTGGGCCTTGGGGACTTCAAGTCCCCCAAAGATCATGTTGATCACGTGCTGAGACTCCTCTTGTTAGACCTATTTGTTGGCTTTCTTGTTTCTGAAGTGGTTATGGCTCTCTCGCTTAGGAATTCTCGGAGGTGCCATAGTTGAACAATCGAGCAACTTCTTGTCTTAACTGTTGGCAATCTTCGGTCCTATGACCGTGAGTGTCGTGATACTTACACATCAAATTAGCATCTCTTGGGGCAGGGTCGGACTGCAATGGTCGGGGCCACTTAGTCTCTTTGATGCTCCCTATGGCCGACACGATGCTCGCACCATCCACGTTGAAATTGTATTCCGATAATCTTGGTGCTTCCCTACTCCCGAGCAGCCTGTCAAAGCCGCTCATGCTCATCAGGTCTAGGCCGCTCGGCCCACGATCATTCCTCTTCTCGTTCCTATTTAGGTGACGCTCGGATCCGTTTCCCAGGCCTTAGATCCTAATCAATGACTCTCTTAGATCTATCATCAGTTCAAACGGGGTAAACAGTTCCAGAAGGGGGCCCGAGTTGATTGTCTTCAACCTTGATCTTCGATTGGTACCTTTTGTGGATGTCGGCCCAGGTCACCGCAGGGTACTCCACCAAATTTCGTTTTAGCTATTGAGAGGCCACGAATCTTCGGGGGTTGATCCCTTGAGTCAATGCCTGAACGACCCAATCATCCGCAATTGGTGGAAGATCCATCCGTTCCATCTGGAATCTTGACATGAACTCCCTGAACATCTCGTTATCCCTTTATTTGACCATGAAAAGGTCTGACTTTCTGGTCTCGACCTGATGGCTCCGACATGGGCCTTTATGAAAGCATCTGCAAGCATAACAATTGAGTCAATGGAATTCAGAGGCAAGTTGTGGTACCATATCATCACCCCTTTGGAGAAAGTTTCCCCAAACTTTTTCAACAACACCGACTCGATTTCGTCATCTTCCATGTCGTTCCCTTTGATTGCGCATGTATATGAGGTTACATGCTCATTTGGATCCATGGTCCCATTATACTTGGAAATGTCGGGCATTCGAAACCTCTTCGAGATTGGCTTCTGTGCCGCACACAGGGGGAAGGGCTTCTGGATAAAAAATTTGGAGTGTGGTCCCTTCAATATTGGAGGTGCTCCCGAGATCTGATTGACCCTGGAGTTGTATGTTTCCACCTTCTTGTCGTTGGCCTCAATCTTTTTCTCGCCTGACTCCCCCCGTTTTGTTAATGCCTCGAGCATCTTCATTACCTCAGAAGTTTCTCCGGGCTCGACTTCACCCGGTTTCACGGTAACTCGTTCGTCTCTCCGAATGTTTTCTGGAGATTGTTCGGGCTCGACCATGTTAGGTGCATAACTTTCGTCCTGCAGCTCTACTATTGCCACTTGTTGAGCCTGCAACATTTCAAAAATAAATCGTAGGCTCATCCCATCACCTTCAACTTTTGTCGCTTCTCGAGCCATTGGCCGGGGTCCCCCGCGAACACTGTTCTCGGGATCAGTTGACAAATTGATGTTGATGGCCACCTGCGAGTTAGCATCGACCAGGTCGGCGGCTAGGACACCATTGTGATCGGAAGGAAGCACATCATTACTGGGCACCACATTATTATTTTCACCGTGATAGCCCGCCTCTATGTCAACGTTTAAGTGAGTAGACTGAGAGTTTGACCATTCTTAGACTGACCTGGAATTTAAGATTTCAAAGAACAAGCGTAAAATAGGGTGTGTTATGAGATTCTTATTAAATCACTGCTATTATCCTTTGCCCTACGGTGGGCGCCAAACTGTTTACCCCAAAAATGTGTAAAAATTAAATTTGTATGTGGTTTAAAGTACACGTGATTTAATTTAATACGAATAATTAAGAACAATAGATAGATGAATTAAAGACAAAATAAACGATCAAACCAGTCACAATGTAATGAACAACTCTGGTCTAAGATTGAACATCTCGTCCTTGATCGGACCCTCTGTACAAGATCTATGGCGCGTGCAGAAAAGAACAAGTGAGTAATGCCTTGAACGTTAGGTAGAAGATAAAAATAAAATTTTATTATCTTGAAATGCGTGTTACAATGTGTCAGGCTAAAGAAAAACTTTTCCTTTATATAGTAGGAGAATTTCAATCCTAGTACAAGTCTGAAAAAGGTAAAAATCTTAGTTTTCCGGTAATTGTTGATCTATAATGAACACCGAACGGGATTCGCGCCATAAAATCCGGTTGAAGGCGAATATTACGGCCTCCCTATCCGTCATGCATAACCGTTTACCGTGTCTCTCGAGGTACAAAAGCCATACTTGGTCCGGGGCACATCGCGTTACTGGTCCAATATCAAATACATCGTTCATTCTTCCCAGGTCTCGATATGAGGGGTTCCCGACCTCGATTATAACCACGTCGATCCATGCTTCCCCTTCCTTCTCTCACCGTTGAATCAGGGAAACTCTGCTCCCGATTTTACCCTTACTCACTTTCAACTGTTTTGTTTTCTCCCTTGCCTAGTGACTTGTCAATGGAGCCAAACATTATTATTTATATAGAAAACCTAGTAATTCATATAAATAAATTAAGTGAGCACCCAATCTCAGTAGCAATTGTAGTAAAAAATAGTTAAACACCAACAATTTAAAAATTCTGGGTCCGTCACTGCAAATATCTATATAAAATTATAAAGTATGATGCTAGCTAGAAAATCATATAACATCTTCAATCATATGTGTAAAACATGCGTACTACTTATATTTTTTTTTCTAGTGATTTTGTTGTATTAAAGAGTAATTTGGAAGGGGTTTAAAAACAAAAAAGAGTAATTTGCCAAGGAAAGAAGCCAAGATTGATACTTGGGAGGGGGAGGAGTGCCACAAAATCACTTCAAGAATTCACAAATTCCGCTGATATTTGCATTTTTATATTTTTATACAAAAGATGGCAATAGCTCATTATGTAAATAAATACACAAACAGGAAAAAGTCATAAACTTTAATTTTCTAACAAGCTAATTAATCTAGAAAAAGCATAAGCCAAATATAGCACCTATTCCTATTCCTAACCCACATTATTATTCTGTTTACAACTTTACATTATCCTCTAATTAATCATTTCCTTAGTCTCCACATCATTGATCTGCCTTTAGATGGCCCAGCATTTGGCTGTCTTCCTTTAAATGGTCACTTCTTTTTCTTTCACTTTTTCCTTGATTTGCTTTTTCCCAACTTTATAGCTCAAGACACCAATAGTGTGGGTTCCTTAATCTTCTCCACAACATTATTAAATTGGCTAAAATCAGTGTCTTGATCATCAATTTCTACAATATTTTCTTGAGCTTCTCCTCTTTGATTGGTCTCTATTTGAATGTTGCTCCAAATGTTGGTGTCCAAAAATCCATTGTAGTTTCAGCTGTTACTGGGAATGTACTTGATATTGGTACTAAACACAGTCCTTGGCTCCTTAAGTCTTGTTTTAATCCTTCTTGTTCCTTGACCTATCAGTAGTCAATAAAATATGAGTTTAATTTCTATGCATGGACAGTATAAAAGAATTTTTTATATTATTGTATCACCTAAAAGATAACTATATGTGACTATCCAGAAAAAAATTGAATTAGTAACCCAAAAAGTAATGCAAGTTACTTTCTATATTACATGTGAAAATAGATGCACGGATAGTGCAAAAATACTTTTTACTGTCAGTTCATATAAAGTTAAATTCATTCAACCCAAAAAAAAAAAAGTTAAATTCATAAAAAATAAACAAAAATACTTAAGTTTCTTGTTTTTAATTCTTTTCCATAAATCATGGAGTATATATATAATAATTGATCAACATAGGAGTTACAAGATTTCTACCTGTTGATATTGAGTGGATGATTCCTTTTTCATATATGGGTTGCTTAAAACCTGAAATCATAAAACAACATGTTAATTGGAATATTTTGTGATTTACAAAGAAGATATTTTGTGGAGTTATAATAAGGATTACGTACATTGACTTGATCATGAAGAAACTTGATGTACTCAATAGCTTCTTGGAGAACTGAAGCTGTATCAGTCTGTGACAACAAGCAAAACTAACGGTTATTAACACCTTGAGTATGAAAATTGAGCATTAAATAATAATTTTTCATAATTGTGCTACATAAAGAGAATTTCCAGACTTCATTACGTGAGATTACACTGAGTTTATTGTCGTTGTTGCTAGAAACAATAATGCTCTTCCAAAAAGTAGAAAAATCCAAATATTTACCTTTCCAAAAGGTGAAACCAATTGTTGGAGGGCAGTTATCCGGTCTCCCATTTTCTCTTTTCTGACCTGATAACATAGCTAAAAATTAAATTCTCATCCATTACCTTGCACAAACAATCATTTTACTTATAAAAGAAAAAGTTCAAAGTTTCCTCCTTAAAGGGTAGTCCGGTGCACATCAGCACAAGGTATCCCGCGTTCGCACAGGATCCAACGAAGTGTTGTACCCCAAGGGTATGAGTAGACAGTCTACCCTAATACAAACATTAGCGGTTACTTCCACGACTTTAATAAAAAATTATACAAAAATACATTTTATATACCTTAAAAGTTGGCAATGGTGATGGTGTCTCAATTCTTGGTCGTTTGTATGAGCTTGAGGTCGACTCTCGGATTTCTTCAATATTAGACTGAAAAGTTATACCAAGAATTGTTAATATAATATTCTCTACCAAAAAATAAACAAGGTAATAGTATGCTTATCTACGACGACATGTTAAAATACACTACTCCATTGTAAAAGAAGTTCATTATACCGCTACAATAGGTTAAATTAATATACTAACTACGTAAAAGGAAGTTGTTACTTACACTGTCCGTATATATAAGTTAAATAGTCAAACTATATGATGTATTTACCTTAGAGGTTATGTGAGGAAGACTTGCACGGATTTCACTTGAATTAGGCAAAGAAGGTGCAAAATCATTTAAATTTTGCCTTTTGTTTGATGTACAATTGATTGGCTGGTTGTTTGTTAAAAAAGATTGTTGAGGTGGTTGATCAGGATCAGTATCAAACAGTGTTTGAAGCAAATCTGAATAGTAAGTGAAATCTTGATTCATTGGTTTGGAATTGGTTGAAGAGTCTTGAGTTATACTGGAAAAGTTCCTCTTCAATTTATTAGGACAATCCAACCCATTTTCTTGCTGGTAATTCAGGCTTGAATTGATGTCTTCTTGTAGCATGGAAGGATAAGTGTTGTCCAACTTATCATTGCTGCATAATTCCAAGAAAAAAGGAATATAAGAAAAACTTTATAATTACAAACTAGTACTATAATTTAACTTCCTTATGCTTTCAAAGATAATCTCTTAATAGAATGCTTTTAGACCACAAAGATAAGAAAATAACACTAGATGAGCATATTTTCGAGTTCAAGCTTTGAGAATGGAGAATTTTTTTTTGGCAGGTAGGAACATGATTTTCCATTCAGTGGGTCCTATGCTAAGCGGTAAATACCTAATTTCATATAGTAAAAAACGGCAGTCTGGTGCACAAAGCATCTTGCATATTTACGTAAGTTTCGGAAAGGGCAACAATCATAGGAGTGTGATGTAGACAGCCTACCCTAATGCAAGTATTAGTGGCTGCTTTCACAGGTCGAACCTCTGTGACCTAAAGGTCAGACGAAGAAAACTTAAGCGTTACTCCTAGGCTCCCCTTTACCTAATACCGGATGGTAAAATAGAAAAACACACAAGAAGTATCTTTCTCTTCTACTAGTTTATAACCTTTTCACCTTCTAAGAAAACAAAAAAGATGAACAAATTAAATAGAAATTGCTTACGCTGTGTGATTCCAATCAAGTGTTGATGATGGTGAAGAAAGATCAACCTTTGTTTTCATGTCCAACAAATCACTAATTGGCCATGCAATTAAGTTTCCAATAGGATCATCAAAAATTGAAGAAGCAAAATTAGGTGATAAACCAAAAATATTTTTTGTTGAATTCCACCAACTGTTTTCTCCACATACTCCAGCTTGAAAATATTCATCAGCCATAGCCACTTTATAATTGCTATTAAATCCAAAGATTTTCTCTTCTTCAATTCTTGGTAGCTTAGATACTTCTTTTTTATATTTGAAACTGATAAATTTCTGAATTCAGAGTTGTATTTATATACACAAAGATATATGTGGGAGTGGTAGGGGAAGAGGACTAGAAAGAGAAACTAATGGAATCTATAGTTGACATTATACGGAGAAGATGAGTAGATAAAACAAAGGAGGAAAGAATATTTAATTAATTATGATAATAAGATAAAGGTATTTTGGATCGAATTCTCTTACTACATTATTTTATAATATTCTTTCTGTTACTTTAGATAATATATAATCTTCTTGGTTTAGTATACTAGAGTACTATTCCCTCCGACCTAATTTATGTGACACGGTTCGAATTTAAGAGACAAAACTTCTTGCAATTTCAGATATAGAATTCTTAAATTTTTTGTAATAAATTTTTATATTTGAAAATTATATAAAAAAAATACTATAAGTTATAATATTAACAATTTAAAATATTTAAAAGACAGATCAAAGATTTCCAGTGTCGCGTAAATTGACAGGAAATGAGTAATAAATTATATTTGTTCTATGGTTGCTTATAAAATTGAGAGAGAGGGGTGTGATGGCAAAGTTTGATGTGGCAGCCACGTAACTGTTTTAAGACGAATAAATAATGATTAATTTGTACGGCAGAAATTGTTTCCACGCGTGAACCCGAATTTCAGGAACATTTTATATTTTTTTAATTCTTAATTAGAAGTTTTGAGTTCGAACACCAAAAATAAAATCGTGTTTGTAAGGAACGTTACTCCTACATAGTCTGAATTAGTCACGCTCTAAAAACAGAGTATCAAAAAAAAAGGGCTCTTAGCATTTTATTTATACCTGATATATGCTAAAAAAAAATGTTCAATTAAGAAAAAAGTAGTTATTCATCACCCAAAAATATGAAGAAGACTGTTAGTGGGCGTTTGAACATAAGAATTGTAAAATTCCAAAAAAAAAAGAAGTAAAATATTTTTTCAAGTGAAAAAGGTATTTGAAAATTAGAGTTGTGTTTGGACATGAATATAATTTTGGTTGTTTTTGAATTTTTGTGAGTGATTAGAGTGAACATTTGAGTAAACAGCTTTTTTGGAGTTTTTACTAAATTTTTGAAAAAATTT